CCAAAAGTTTTCAAATAAAACGGATCACTGACAACCAAAACAAGGTAGATCTAGAGTCTAGAACCTAGAATCTTGCCAAGAAAGGCCCATAGCATCAGGGACTTCCGGGCGGACTTTCTCGCCGCTGATTTGGAATTTTGACTCATTGACACAGATATAAGAATCCCAATTTGGGCAAAAACTACTCAAACGAAAATAAAAATAGCAAAAACGAACAGGCAACAGAAGCGTCACTTCATAAAAGCAAAAGAAAAAGATTCTTACCGTGTCGAAAACTTCTCTTAAATCGCCTATTTGATCCTCGGAGAGGTGGACAGTGTTACGGTTCGCCATTTTGTCACAGGGAGTGATATTTGATCACGTGACTAAACTTTATATTACCCTAAGACCGGTCTAAGGCGATCTGTGATTGGTCCACAGTCTGGGGTCTCCTATTCCATATTTGGAAGAGTTTACAACTTACATCCCGTTTCAGTCTGATTCATTATTAGGCCTAGGCCTAATCTGATTCAAAACAATATAATGTGCCATCCGCATAAGGAAAATAACTTCAAAAAACAGACTTTTAGATCTATTTCTTCACAGCCAGCACGTGAGAAATCGCGAACGTGCAACTAGCCTAGGTTTAGATCTCTTACATTTCATCGACTCGTTTCATGACGACTGCCTGTTTTTAATATTTAAAAAAATAATACTGATAACCCAAATCATAAGGCAATATATTCAGTCAGGTGCATAATTAAGAACTAATTCCCCACTGTAAGCTCATATTTCCCTGTAGTCAAATCAAATCAGCTCTTTAGACCTGTAAGCCTATTTTAAAATATATAATACGCCTAATGATCATTTAATAGGCTACACCAATTTTCTTGATGATGTGTCAACTACAAGAAAAATGACCTAATGGCAAAAAGTAAAACAGTATCTGCAGATCCGTGAATGTCCCTTAGTCTAGATGATATCAACTATCCGAGGGTCGAGGGTTAAAGACCAGACCACACCCTTTCATTCATGTCACCACGAAGAGGTATTGAGTTAACAAGGGGAACAACCATTGGAATAACAGTTAGACACTAGAGATTGCCCGGTTTACCTTTCCGAATTTTCTTCTGATTAAAAAAACACAAAAAACAAACAAACAAAAAAACAAACGATTTATGCCTTTGAAGTAACCTAAACTAAATTTTTGATATTTTCTTACAAACTTTAGTTACGATACATTTTAGGCCTACCTCAACAGCATCAATGATCATTGTATAGATTTACCGCCTCTTTCAACGTTTTAAGGTTGATTACGAGTCAGAGCGTTCGAAATTAAGTCTATCTCTAAAGGGACTGAACCTCATCAGCAGTTCGGGTTCGTTCAGTGCGGCGTTTTAGGTTTTTTAATTTTATTGACCTCTCGCCTTTCATTCTAAAGTCAAATTAAACGAAGAAAACAGTCACCCTTTCCTCCGGAAGAGGTTTTTTCCCCCCCAGCATAACCATGAAAAAAAGCGTTCTTCCGAAATTTGAATTCTTATTTATTCAAAAACTTGTTAGTTTCACTTTGATTTTTTTTAACACAAGGGTGCGCATTTGCGAATAGGGCGCCACCGAATTTTGAGGACACTTTTTTAATAGGCTCAAAGAGAGGAGTGGCCCTTCTTGTTATGTAGACTCTTTGTCCCAACTTAAACTATCAAGTATTAGAAACGGATTAGAATAGGGTCTAAAACAAAGACCGTTCATAACGTTATGTACGATGTTTGTCCAAAATGAGGCTTGCTGGAAAGTTTGAATACGTACTCTAGTCTAAGGTATCGAATAAGTACCCCCCGCCCCCGCTTATTAATTTGGGGCTGTTCAAATATAATCT